GGAATAAAAAGTGCTTCACCTTTTTTCAGTCAGCTGTTAACAAGAATGCATTAGATTCATACTGGAGGACTTGGGGATTTTTAAGAGCTATTGTTAAGTGAGGAGAGCAAACTACAGAGAAGTGTGCTTAATAAAACAACAGCCAAACTTCCCTGTATGTGTGTGTATTTGTGTATGATTATATGAGCATAAAGAAATGTGTGGAAAGGTACATAGCAGGCTGTTACCACCATGTGCTTGGGATGGGATGGAGGGAAGGGGATAAACAGTGAAAACAACCTTCACTAAAAAACGATTCAACCTAACAACATGTATAAAATTTTAATCTCATTTATTTAATTATATATTATGTATAGATGTATATTTATGTGTGTACATATATATATACACACATACACATCTATCTATCTATGTATAGGTGTTCTGCCTTTTCTATTTTTAAGAGATGAGGTCTTGCTCTGCCACCCAGGCTGGAGTTCAGTGGTGCAATCATAGCTCACTGTAGCCTCAAACTCCTGGGCTCAAGCAATCCTCCTGCCTCAGCCTGCTGAGTGGCTGGGACTACAGGCCTGTGCCACCATACCAGCTAATTAAAAATTTTTTTTGTAGAGACAGGGTCTCCTTGGGTTGCCTAGGTTGGTCTTTAACTCCTTGGCCTCAAGGGATCATCCCATCTTGGACTCCCAAAGTACTGGGATTACAGGTGTGAGCCATCATGCCTGGCTGCTGTCTTTTACATTATGCCTAGACCTTGGCCACACCAAAATTTGAAAAGTATTTTATCTCTAGTTTCTCTGTATAGCTTTTTTTCTCATATAAGTTGTAAGGTAGGGGTTTAATATAATACAATTTATTTTTAAATAATTAGTCAATGTACTATGATTTTTAAAGAAGCTGTAGTGTATTCATAGGCGCCATCTCAGTGGCAAGTTAGTGTGAATGTAAACTCAGGACGTGACTATGAAGCCCACTGGTAGCATGGGGAGGGTGCAGTCCAAGATCTCCTGAGGTCAGCAAAGGGGAGAAGGACCAAAGACACGTGGCTGCTCTGTGCATGCCTGTGGCTCTTTCTGTTGTCCTGGTGACTTTTGCTATCTCTGCTAAGATGGGAAGAGGTCTCAAAGGGTAACCTGCTCCCTAGGTCTTCATGGTTCCACTCCTCTAGAAATGGCGAGCCAGACCCAGACAGACATGTTTCCTTGGCTGCAGGCAGAATGGCTCCATCCAGCACACCCCTCAGGGGCTATATTCTATCAATAAGCCATCTCTGTCTGAAGCCCGGGCACTTGTGTCTTCCAGCCCTTTCCAGCTCACTGTCTACCCAGGATGGAGTTCTCAAAGGTTGGCAACAACTTCTTCTCCCCTCCTTTTTTTGACTCTATCTCAGTGATCAGAGTTCTCATTACCAATGTTTTTAGACTCCTAAGGGCCTAGCCCAATATTCTGGATTTCCTAGGGAGAGACTAGATTCTCCCAGACATCTTCTCTCCTCTCTGCTTTATTTCAAGAAAGAATAATGCTCTAAAGTGAAGGACACCATTTCTGATTATGCAATCATAATTGAAAGAGATGCCTCCAAGCTGAAAAAATTTCTGTTATGTTGAAGACTGTTAGAATAGGAAGAATCAAAAGAAGGAAGGTCAAGGGGTAATGAATGTTTACTTTCTCTCCTTGCTGTAATAGAATAATAGAACATGTTAAAACAGAAAAAATTCTCAGAAGATGGTGAAAGTCAAGAGCTTTGAGGAGCAAAATAGACACATCTTCAGAATTCATTGAAACAATGTTCAGAGATGAGACAGGCAGATTTCCACGGTTTGTTATACTAACAGGAAAAAAACTGCTCAAGAGCAATGAGAAATTCTCAAAAATGCAAATCTGATTGTGTCATCACAAATGGTTTCAATAAGGATGACAAGGGGACTATGCTTGGAGAACTCAAGAGTGTTTGCAGGGGAGTGGTGAGGTTAGCTCTTGAGTGGACATATACAAAAGGAAGGGAGGAGGAAGAGGGGCCAGGTGCGGTGGCTCATGCCTGTAATCCTAGCACTCTGGGAGGCCGAGGCAGGTGGATCACTCAAGGTCAGAAGTTTGAAACCATCCTGAGCAAGAGTGAGACCCCATCTGTACTAAAAATAGAAAGAAATGAATTTCCCAACTAAAAATATATAGAAAAAATTAGCCGGGCATGGTGGCACTTGCCTGTAGTCCCAGCTACTCGGGAGGCTGGATCGCTTGAGCCCAGGAGTTTGAGGTTGCTGTGAGTGAGGTTGATGCCACAGCACTCTAGCCCAGGCAACAGAGTGAGACTCTGTCTCAAAAAAAAAAAAAAAAAAAAAAAGAGGATGTAAGAGGAACACAGAGGGTGGGATATACATTCAAGAGTCATGGCAGGGATGCTAAATCATAAGTGTAATAAGGCCTGTGTTTTGTTTTGTTCTTTTAAAGCCTGTGATAGTTTTATGAAAGAATCAAAGAAATATGTTTAGGGGAAGTAAAATGACCAATGAGGGATGTGCTTGTATCAGGAACTCAGGTGGTAAGGTTGATTGTGGCTTGGTAGGTATTATGGGCTGAATATGTACCCCAAAAGATAGGTTGAAGTCCTAATCTCCAGTTTCTCAGAATGCAACCTTACTTGGAAGTAGAGTCATTGCCATTGGAATTAGCTAAGATAAAGTTATACTGCAGAGGAGAAAGACACACACAGGACAGAGAATGCCATGTGAAGGGACAGACACATGAGAGGAGGTGCCATGTGGCAATGGAGGCAGAGATGAGAGTGATACAGCGGCAAGACAAGGACCTCCACAGACTGACAGCCACCACCTATGCTAGGGGGAGGCAAAGAAGGATTCTGCACAGAGACAGAGGGAGCATAGACCTGCTGACACCTGATTTTGAACTTCTAGCCTTGAAAACTGTAAGACAACACATTTCTGTTGTTTTAAGCCACCCAGTTTGTGGTACTTTGTTGTAGCAGCCCTGGGAAACCAACAGCGTAGGCAGCCCTTACAAGACACCCTCTCTTGCCTGCGCCTCCTCTTCACATAATCCTCACCATTCCGAGAGGGAGACCTCGATGAGCCAACTGCTGTCCATCTCACGCACATTCTCTGGCCCACAATTTCTCTTTGGAAGACCAAGTCTTCAAGGCTTGGGTCATGTATGATTTCTTGGGGGCACTGTCCCTATAAACTTTTCATAAAACATGAGTGATTTCACCACTCTTCCATCCAAGCATCACCATAAATTTGGTGTTTGTTCTTGCTTTAATTTTAGCAGAATTCATGTTGCTCTAATAGGGGCTCTTTTCAAACAGATGTCTTATTCTTCTTAGTGCCTCACACTAAATCTTGTTCAGACATGTTATAGCAAGTCAATACCAGTTTATTTTGGTGCAACAAAACTAGAACTCCATGCAGTTTTTTCATAATACACATTTCCTATGAACTCTTTGAAGATCCCTCATATAAGGAAGATGTGTGCATAAACCCTAGTTTCTATTTTTGCATTAAGATGATCTCAAAAGACCCCAGGAGATAGGACCAGACAAATGGAATAGTTTATATGATAAACTTCTGCTTAAAGACAACATAGAGTTCTAAGACATCTGTCCCCACCCACCAAAAAATACTTGCCATGGGGACAAAGCAATACTTAATACCCCAATATGCCATTGTAAGAAACTTCTACAGCCAATTGGCAAAGCGTCCTTTATATTTAAAATGGGCAAACTGTGTTTTCCAAAACTGTTAACTACAGGGAGGAATCAAAAAGGAGGAAGGAAAAGCAAATGTTGGGGGCATTACTTTAGAATAGACCATCTCCTCCCTAATCTAGGCAGGCCTGGTGATCTGGCTTCTGCCCATCTCTCGGGCTTCTCCCCACCAATCACTGCCTGGTGCTCCATGCTGCGGCCACATTGGCCTCCCTGGCAGTCACTAGAACACCAGCTCCTTTCCAAATCTCATTTACTTTAGGTAGGTCCTCAAGTGTTACCTACGTAGAAAGAACTTCCTCAACTATTGTCTAAAATAGCATTGACCTGCCCCATCCTCTTCTGCTTATATTTTTCTTTACAGTAATTACCACTTTCTGAAATTATATTATGCATTTATTTCTTTATTGCCTGACTTTTCCATTGAGATAAAAAGCTTTATGAATTCAAGGACTTGGCTCACTTCTTTAGGACCTAGAAAAGCATGTCATTGGCTTTTATCAATAATGTCTGTTGAGTGAACGAAAGAAAAAAAATAGAATAAGCGAAGCCCAGAAAAAGCATCTCAGGAGAAGGGCCTAACAGAAAACGGGTGAAAAATATGAAAAAGAAACAATGGCAATTTGCTAGAACTGTGCTAATACAAATTTATAAGGGGAATATTTATATTTGTGTATAATATGTAATCCATTTAAAAAAATCCCGAGAGACTTAAATGAATTGAACTACTTGCAAATATTTTGGACAGTATTTAAGTCTGCCCTATTTCTCTTTTTTAAAAATTTAAAAATTTTTTTATTACTTTTGTTTTACTGTATCTTCTAAACAAGAGAAAGTCTCTCCCATTTCTCCAGCGAGGTTCTGCCGCGCAGCAACTCTTGCGCTCAACCTTGGTGCACTGGTTAATTTCTGCGGATTCTCAGGGAAGAGACTAAATTCGCCCTCCCTCTTTAATAAAATGTATTCTTGTCTCTATTTGATTGGCTTTCCCTACCAGGCACCCCTTTATCATTGGCCAAGCCTCCAGTCCATCACTCCCACACTCAAGCCCTCTATTGGCCCGTAGTAGCAGAGAGCCGGCCGCAGGCCGCACTCAGGCAGGAGGAGTTCCCGGGTGACGTCAAAGGCACTGCCCGCCCACATTCCAAAGCCTGGGCGGAGAATTCCCGCGGCCCTGCCTTTGTGGGCGGGACATAGAGGGAAAAAAGACTTCTGATTGGGTTTGGTAGGTGAGGCGGGTATCCGATTGGCCACTGCCCTGGAGGGAGGTGGGGTTGCAGCTGAGTCCTGGAGCCGAGCTGAGGAGCCCTGGGGAGTCTCAAAGTTTGTGTCTGGAGCGGTATTGGAGAGCGGGCTTATTGCAAAGGGAGTTTCCTGGGATGAGAGCTGACCGCCTGCCTTCATTCTGGGTGCACACCCCGCTTTAATCCTCGCAGCCGTGGGTGCGAGCCCTGGACGGCCTGTGTCCCCCGGGTTTCTCAGATCTCCGAGGACACCAGACGGGAGCCCGTGGCTCTTCTCTCTCCGGCAAAGGAGCAAACGTTTTCCTTCCTAAGTGCACAAGCTACACACGCACGCTCGCGCGCACACGCACGCGGAGGGAGAGGAATCTCGCCGGTCCGAGGCGGCTCTGCCGGTCCTCTCCTGCCCTCCGCATCCTCGCCCCGCGCGGCCCCGACCACCATGGAGGTGCTGGAGACCGGGGAGCAGGGCGTCCTGCAGTGGGACCGCAAGCTGAGCGAGCTGTCAGAGCCGGGGGACACCGAGGCCCTCATGTACCATACGGTGAGGACTCGGCGGGGGCGGGGGCAGGGTGGCTTTTAAACCGGGGAAGTGTCATCGGAGGAACAGCTGGAGACCTAGGGACTGGGAAGGCAGTATTTGGGAAAGACCATGGCCAGAATCCAGAGGTCTGGGGCGAGGTGGAGTTTTTCTGAGCAGATGAAGGTGGGCAGCTGGCCCTTTTAAACTTTTCATTAGAGTATTGTCACTTTGTATTCTTTTAGCAATTTATATTCCCCCCCCCCAGGCTTTTTCTTATCTGTAAGTATCATTTCCTATTGCTAACAGTACAGTAATGCAGGAGATATGTTTGAGAATAATATGCTTCCACCTAGTTTGCTGTTAATTTTTGTAAGTTTTTAAAAACTGCACAAGATTAAGTTGTGTTTCCTTTCCATCTGTTTCATATTCTCCCTCTCCCTTTCTCTCTTCCCCTTTCTTATTTATATTTTAAAAAGTGCACGTGTGTGTGTTGAAAAGACTCCTTCACATTAGGCAGAAAGCTGCTTTATTTGGCTTCTTAAACTGTACAGCCAAGAAATCTGCTTCCTCCCTCTTTAGAGGAAAGAGCAACAGAGGAGTATGGAAAATCTGAGGCAGTTGCATATTTCAGAAAGGCTTTGGGGAAGGTGGAACAGCTCACCAGTTAGTTCCTCGGTCAGCCTCACACTATGCTTCAAGACCTCTTTGAGCATTAAGCTGTCACAGGGCATGCATATTTCTTTTAAAGTTTTAAATTTAAACTTTTTGGTATTAAGTTTGCAAAGTAAAATTTTTTTTTCTTAACAGCCAGCACTGGTAATTTGACTTTGTGCAAGATCTCTTTGTTTCTTTCTTATACATGTAGACATTTGTAATGAGGGGAGGGGCACTAATGAGAAAAACGAGAGACTTGACTCTTTCCTCTTCAGGGTTCTTTTAATGGGGTCAGTACTGGGATATTTGAAACTTTAGCAAAATGGCCTGTAGGCTCCACCTCTTTGGCCTTTGACTCTGGCTGACTTTATTTTGGGACGAGGGATGAGGGTTTCCCTGTCCATTCTCACCGAAGCATTTGTGGTGGCTGAGAATGGCTTGTTTAAAAAAAGCAGAGTGCAGGGCTGAGAGGGAGTGGTAGTTCATGCTGGGGCAAAAGCCAGATGTTCAGTGTGATCTTCTGGGCTTTGCTTCCTGAGCCTGTGTCGAGGAGACCATGTGGGCTGCATTTGGATTGGGGGCCCAGATGTGCTTCCCGTCCTCAGTAAAGAATGTAGAGCATACTGGCCCTTAACTATCTTCTGATTTTTGGGTGCTGCAGATGTTTCGACTGACATGGGCTACATTTTAACCCTCTGCAGAGGGGCTGCTCTTCTCTTTTGTTCTTAAACATCTTTTATTGTGAAAATGTGTCATCCAGAAGCTGTAATGGCACAGCTGGTGGATGAATTATATACAGGCATCTGCATTCTGCATTGCCCTTCCTGGGCCCTGCAGCTTGGATTTGTGAGATCCCAGGTCAGGGTTTGAGATGCTACCTGTGACTGTGGCATTAACTCCTGGAAGAATAGCTTGAACTGGCTCTAACTAACATCTTCTCACACAGTTTCAAGGGTAGAGACTTTACATTTATTTTGATATTAACAGCTCAGTTTTTCTATCATTGTAATAAAATAGTAATGCCTGATTATTTTTCTTCTAATTCTGTTTTAAAAAATGATTATGTCTTCCACATAGGTACGTGTCTCTCTTCTAAAGAGCTCACTCATACAAAATGCTACTAATCATTGCTGCAAGTCAGTGCAACAAACTATGCATATGAATTACTGTTGAAAGAGGTATTAGGTTTAATAGCACAAACAATTGGATTATATTCCTTCCAAACTCAGGGAGGTTTGGTAGAGATTTGAACGTAGATAATGTTCTCATCTGTTTCTTAAACTCTGTAGGATATCCAGTGGCAGAAGTGAATATTATTGTCTTTTGTCCATAATGTGGGATGGCCTGACCTCCAGCTGACTTTCCATGTGGAAAAAGGATGGCCTGATCATGCATTCTTTCAAAAAATATATTTGTTGTTTCAGTTAATATTTATTGAATATCTTCTGTGTGTCAAACACTATTCTAAGCGACAAAAATTCCTGACCTCTAGAAGCTTACATTCTTTTATGTGCATGCATGTGTGTGTGTGTGTGTGTGTGTGTGTGTGTGTGTGTGTAGGGGAAGATAAACAATAAATGATAAACATAATAAGCAAGTTAGTGGTGTTGTATGTTAGAGGATACAAATGCTATGGAAAAAGTAAAAGTAGAACAGGGTGAGTGGGATAGAGAATACAGAAGAGAAAGGGCAAAGTAAGGGATTGAGTTGAGCGATCAGAGTAAGCCTCTTATAGCAAATGGATCTGAGCAAAGATTTGAAGGAGGTGAGAGTGTTAGCTCAGCAGGTTGAAAGTCAAGGCAAAGGCCCCAAGGTGAGGGTGTTTGGCTTCAGTCTGTCGTAATATCATCTTCTGTTTTGGATTCCTCCATTTGGGCAAGGTTTTTTTTTTTTTTTTTTTTTTTAAACCAATAAATGAAGGTTACTTCTGAGACATCAGTACCTGTTTTTGGAATGACCCAGTAAAACTGTCCAAGTTGAGGAGAGCCTGCAGGAAGGGTGAGGTGCAGATGTAAGTTGGGAGCGTGGTAGGAGATGATGACAGCTGCCATCTGCGGAGAGTTTACCATCCGACAGGGAGGGCCTGCCACCTGTGCTGGGCTACAGGGCCCCACACTTGGTTTGATGTTCTGCTGTCACCATCTTTTTTTTTTTTTTACATTATTTTTTTTAAATTGCCAAATAATAATTGTACATATTCATGGGGTACATAGTGATGTTTTGGTACATATAATGTATTGTGATCACATCAGGGTAATTAGCATATTCATCATCTCCAACATTTATCGTTTCTTTGTGTTGGGCATGTTCAATATCCTCTTTCTAGCTATTTGAACTATAATATATTATTGTTAACTATAGTCATTCTGTAGTGCTATAGGACACTAGAACTTATTCCTCCTATCTAACTGTAATTTTATATCTTTTAGCAAATCTCTCCCTATCCCTCCCTTCCTTCTACCCTCTTGAAATTTTTATTAATTTTTGAACAGGGGGGCCCCATTTTCATTTTGCATTGAGTCCCACAAATATGTAGCCGGTCCTGTTGGAAGATACCATGTTTAGTGCTTTACAAAAATTATACTATTTGACTCTCTTAATGATCCAACAAAAACAGCCATTTTATTATTCTCTTTTTACATATAAGAAAACCAAGGCTTAATATGTTTAAGCAACTTGGCTTAGGTTCCGCAGCTAATTAGTGACAGGACCAGGGTTCAAATTCAGGTCTGCCTGCCTCCAAGGCCTGAGTTCTTGCTCATCAGGCTGTGTGGATGACGAATTCTGACTTAAAGAGAAGGAACTGAGGGAGAGGTTGAGAGAGAATGATTGGGGGACAGAAACTGCTGAGCCTGAAAGCAGCTAATGTTTAACTGAGCCTGCCAGTGGCAGCCACCAAGCCTGCCTAGCGTGATCACTCTTGTTGCTCTAAATAGGGATTTAGTTACCACATGCATGATTGCTAATGCCCTGTTTTAGCAAAGCTGTCACATACCTGATTTTAAAAATTTAGAATGTTCAGGTTGCCTGAGGCTGGGATTATAACATTTCTCAGGCACCTTCTGTTAGCCATCAAGAGCAATGTTTTTCTCATTTGGTTAGCTCTGAAGGCTTCTTGGTCCAGAAGGACAAAAGCTTAGAGAAGACAGGTTCAAAGTCTACAAAATAATGAAGCACATGGATAGGGTGAATATGGACTAGCTCATTAGATCCTGAATTACTAAAGCTCAGGGCTTCCTCTTGAAGCTTAAAAAATAGTTTCCCTAAACATGATGAAATATCATTTTAATTCAGTGAGTAAGTACTTTTATCAAAGCTGTTGCTTCAGGATTGGATACAGGTTAAATGTGGGCCCAGTAAAAGATGCAAAATCTAAAAATGAGGAGAACGTTTCTTAGGGTTTGATACCATTGGTACCCTGCCTCTTTCCACAAACCTGCCTGGATGTTGGGCAATTCTAATATTCATGTTGTGTTCCTCTAAGATTCTGGGCAAATTACATTTCTGGGAATTCTCTGTCAGTTTTTAGAATTTAGAATAGGAAAATAATCCATGTATATTATATATGTACAGACAGAATCTGCTCAAGAAATGGATTACTGTTTCTGGGAAGGGGAATTGGGGTGGAGGTCAAGAGATTGCGGAGACTTATCTACACTCTATACCCTTTGGGACAATTCAGATTTTTACCTGTTGGATGTGTTTAGAAAATGAAGAATTACCGCTTGAAGGCACTGTGTAAAACTGGATAGAGGTGATTTTCACCAGAGTGTCCATGGGGGAAAGAGGGATTCATTGCTATGCTAAAGCTCAATATGACTCAGGTCAGTGGAGGCCTTGGGTGAAAAATAGGGGAGGTGGGAATGCTCTGTGGAAATAGGTTCTAAGGGTGGAGGTGGACAGTGGGTTTGCGTATGATAAACCTCACAATCCTGGTAACTTTCTCTCTTTCTTCTGTCTCATTTTAGCCATCTGGAAAAATAAAGATTTTTATCAATTTTTGCAATGAGTATAAGACATATGATAGGAACTACTAAGTCTTTACAAAGATAACAGAAGTTCTGCTTGTTTTACATGCAAAATTCATTTAAAGCCAGTTATTTATAAAGTTATTTGGTTATGCTACGAACATTTATATCTGGTTGATTCTTAAGGTAAAATGGCTGATTTTAGTTAGTGATAGGTAGGGAGTCAAGGGAATGTTCAACCTGCCTGGTGTCCAGATGGAAAGGCCATCTGGCTTCCACATCTCTCACTGGTTGCTGAGAAAGAGTTGGCTGATCTCACAGGCTGGGTGGTTTCCACTTCCTCCTGGCTGGCCCAGAGACTGATGTGTTTCCAATGGGATATTGAAGCTTTTGATTTGA